TCTCCAAGCGACACTGCCGGCCTTGGTCGGCCTGGCCGCTGACTTCCCGCCGCTGGAGATTGAACGCGCTCACCAAGCCCTGGCTGCTGTCCCGGCTCCGAATAAGCCCCCGAGAAGTGTCCTGGTATGGTTCCTGTGATACTCTCAAAGAGAGGCTGTACTCAGAGCAGCCTTGAAGAAGCGACACATCCTCCATGACAGCTCTCAGCTATGGTTTTATCCTGATTTATCTGCGGAGGTCCTGCAAAGACGCTGGGAGTTTGACACCGTGGGAAAAGCCTTTGCTACCCTCAGCATGTACCGCGGGTTTGCCTACCCAGCCCGCCTCCGATGCCTCCGTCATTTTGACACCCCCAGGGCTGCAGCTGTATTCTTGGAAACCCTTAAATGAGATAACATTTTCCCGTTTATCTGCTATTATGGAGAAAGTTGGACGTAATCCACGCTGAACCCCCAGTGAGCATTATCTGCTGTCCCCGGCCACTACAGAGACTTGGTGAAAGAGTGAGCAGCTGAGCTGAGTCCATTTGTAGTTTTTCCCTTGGTAACAAGGTGTTTTTAGTTATTTTGTCACTATATATTTCATCTTTTTTGTGTCTCAGCTGTTACTGTGATCTAAGCACTAGTTAGTACTCGTCTTATGTTTATTACACTCAGTGACTGTATAAAGGGTGCTTTTATCCTGTCGTTTGGGGACAGGATAGGGGAGGGCAGGCGCTGCAATTTGAATTATCTCTATATTTACTTTTATTTGTACCATTTTACCTTTTTGATTATACTGTATGAGTGGAGCTCATGTTTTCTTTTTTATGTTATTCTTTCTTTTCTTTTCTCTCATGCCTGGGTCACTTAAGCTCATTACCTGGAACGTCCAAGGGATTGGTCACGTTATTAAAAGGAAAAAGATTTTAACACATCTAAAAAACAAAAATATGACATAGCACTGCTGAAGGAGACTAAATTGTCTGATGCAGAGCACCTGAAACTCAAGAGAAACTGGGTGGGCAAAGTTTATTTCTCCTCCCATTCACAGAACAAGAGAGGCACTGCCATCCTTATAAATAAGAACCTTCCTTTCATTTTAGAATACGAAGAAAAGGATTCAGAAGGGAGATTTATTTTGATTACAGGTTCAATCCTTGGACAGCACGTAATTATTCTCAATGTTTATGCCCCGAATAATGACTCGCCTCAGTTCATGTCACGAATGATTTTAATGTTTAATCAACACTGTAAAGGCTTGGGCTTTTTAGCTGGTGATTTTAATTGCATAATGAATGCTTCTCTGGATAAATCCTCCTCCGCAAATATATCTAACCTAAGAGCATCTACTGTCCTCAATAATTTATGCACAGACACGGGACTGATAGACGTATGGCGATACCTCAACCCCAAAGTGAGAGACTATACATTCTATTCGCATCCTCACAATTCCTACTCTAGACTCGATTATTTTTTTATTCCCAAACAATTTTTGCAGTCAGTCCTTGCTTGTCACATAGATTCTATTGTTTTATCAGACCACGCCTCAGTGAATTTGCTTATCAACCCAACATTTAATATTCCTAGATCTCCAACTTGGAGATTTAATTCTTCATTTTTGAATAACGACCCCTTTTGCATTTTTGTCCGGGACAATTTATCGCAATTCTGGCATGAGAATAAAAACTCCCCAGTGTCCCCTGCTATGATCTGGGATGCAGCTAAGGCCACTCTACGCGGGCACCTTATCTCCTACACTTCTCACCAAAAAAAAGTGTTAGAGGACAACAGGAAAAATCTTGAAAAGGAAGTTAATAGGTTGGAACAAATACATAAACAATCACCTACGGCCATAAACTTAAAAGCATTAGTGTCTGCTAGGACTGCACTTAATATGGACCATACTCGTCACATTCAGAAATTACTACTTTTCACCAAGCAGAAGTATTATGAATATGGCAACAAATCTAGCCGCTGATCATTAATAACACATTCAGAGACTTCTACAAATCCCTCTACAGAAATCTGAGACCGACATAGATTCTTATTTAAATAATTTATCTCTACTCATCATTGCGGAGGAGGATCGATCCAGATTAGATGCTACATTCGCAACAGAGGAAGTCTGGGCCGCAATTCAATCCATGCCAAACGGGAAATGTCTGGGGCCAGACGGATTTCCATTAGAATTTTTTAAGAAATTTTGGCCAGAGATTCACCCAATATTTATGCCCGTTATTAATAATATTTTGAAAGGTGATACCCCTCCCTCTTGGAGATATGCCTCTATTAGTTTGCTCTTAAAAAAAGACAAAAACCCCTTGGACTGTTCATCGTACAGACCTATCAGTCTTCTCAATGTGGATTACAAAAGAGTTGCAAAATTACTGACCCGTAGACTTGAAAAAGTGCTTCCGAAAATCATAAATCCAGACCAGGTAGGATTCGTGAAATCGAGGTATGGTACAGATAATGTCCGTTGTGCACTTAATATTTTTCACTATCTTAATACTTATAAAGACCCAGCAATGATAATCTCCCTTGACGCCGAAAAGGCCTTTGACCGAGTAGAATGGTCTTTTTTATTTCCTGTATTAGAAAAATTCGGTCTAGGCTCCAATTTTATTAATGCAATTAAAATCCTTTATTCTGACCCAATAGCCACTGTCAACACTAACGGCTTGCTGTCCGAGGGTTTCCCAGTGTGCAGAGGTTGTAGGCAGGGGTGCCCTCTGTCACCTTTATTGTTTACGTTGTTCATCGAACCTTTGGCTGAGACTATCAGAACTCATCCCGATATAAACGGCATCACAGTGGGTGAAGGGAACCATGTCATTTCCCTATTTGCCATCGATGTTCTTTTGTACTTAAAGAATCCTGATAAATCAATTCCAGCAGTCGTTGACTCTATAAATACGTTTAGCATGTTATCAGGTTATAAAATTAATCTAGGGAAATCGGTCACCACACCCTTTAACATCCTCCAGAATATGACCATACAATCACCTTTCCAGCTGTCGAAGAGGGGTTTCAGATATCTAGGTGTTTTTATTACTCCTGATTTAAATAATTTATTTGAGACCAATTATTCCCCCTTAATTCAAAAAATTAAGGCAGATCTGAAAAAATGGTCCTCTTTACCGACCTCTTTCCGTGGGAGAATCAACACTATAAAAATGAATATTCTTCCCCGCTTAAGCTGTTTATTTCAAAATCTTCCATGCTATTTGACCCCAGTATTTTTTAAGTCGCTCAACTCTTGCATTTCCCATTATATCTGGAATAATAAATATCAAAGAGTTAGATTTTCTAAACTCACTAAGCCAAAGGAACTGGGAGGCTTATCTTTGCCCAATCTACAGTTCTACTATTGTTCAGCCCAACTTAAAATGATGACAAACTGGTTCATGAATAGGAAAGACTCTCTATGGATCGGTCTTGAGACCCTATCATGCCACCCTAGAAGACTAAATTCTCTCCCCTTCATCAACAGTATAGATCAGATAAATTCCCTTAAAAATGATATAATCGTATTCAATACGTTACTAGTCTGGAGGGATGTGAAGAAATACCTAAAAATTCCAACTCGGTTCCCCTTGGCACTGAATCCTGATTTACCACTTCAGATAAGGAGCATCGGCCTGATGGATTGGGTTGCTAAGGGCTTGCCAGATTTTGCAGCCCTGTTGTTCTCTGATTCTTTGAAACCGTTTGAGCAAATCAGGGCTGAGTCTGACATTCCCCGCAAAGATCTTTTTAAGTACTTCCAAATTCGCCATTTTATAGAGTCTTTATTAAAGAAAAACATGATCCGTATGGAACTGTCAGAACTGGAAAACACGGTGGTCTCAGCCAAATCAGCCAGAGGACTGATCTCTGAAATTTATACTGTATTGCAATATTCTGACTCTTCAGCCTATGACCCCTTGAAGCCATTGTGGGAGCACAATCTGGAGGTGATATTTAGTCCCGCAGACTGGTCTAAGATCTGTAATGGAATTTTTCCAAAATGTACTTCAATCTCTATACATGAACAAAATTTCAAACTTTTTCACAGGTTCTATTTTACACACTGCCTCCAGAGAAGTGTTCCCGAACATTTCAAACCTGTGTTTTAAATGTAAAAAGCATAAAGGTACACTTATTCATTTATTTTGGTCATGTGACCGCATCCAGCCATTCTGGAATTGGATCCATTCAGTGATTCAGGAGGTTACTGGTAAACATTTCTCATTGAATGCTCCATTTTGTTTGTTAAGTCATATTCCGGACAATCTTTTTGACACAGATACTGAATCTCTGCTAATTATCCTTCTATTCTTGGCCAAGAAGTGTATTCTGCTACGATGGTCAACCCCCCAGGTCCCCACGACTGACATGTGGATATCACAAATATCAACTCTTCTCCCCCTGGAAAAATTGACTCATGACCTCAATCACAAATCGGACAAATTCTGGAGAATTTGGAAGCCTATGCACTCCTTTTTACAGAGACTTTAAATGGCTCATCTCTAGAAGGCGATGTCTGGCCGCTACGTGTATTTGTACCCTTGCTTGTTTACTTGCTCACTGTCATACTAATGTAAATTTGGTATATACATTTTCGTTTTCTTCTCTTTTATTTTGATTGTTTCTCTGCAGCACCTGTTGTTAGTTTGGGGTGGGAATTTTCTGTTCGGTTAATGTTTGTTGCCTATTTGTGTGTTAAATTGAAAAATTCAATAAAAATAAAATTAAAAAAAAAAAAAAGTGATGTTTTAATCTTGCAGCTGTGGGCCGTAGAGGTTTATATGAAATGCATACTGTATGTAATGAACAGAGAGTTTCACCTCACAAACACAAACATGACACTCTCTGGTCTGAACCTTCTGTTTGATAAATACAGCACACGTGTCTGAGACAGACGGCATCATATCAGTATCTGAACAGCTGCAGAAGCTGCAGCACATCTGGCCCTTGGTCTTGAGGTGGAGTTCAGAACATGTTGACAGCTGCTCGTTCACTTTGTTTTCCTGCAGGTGAGAAATGATAACGTCGCTCCCATCTACGTCATCAACCTCCTCATCTCTGACCTCATTCAGTTCTGCTGCATGATTGCTGAGATGGTGCAACCTGAGGACGGTGTCGTCTTGTTTATCTACAGCTATAGTGTGTTCGCCAGTGTTGGCTTCATGGTGTGTATCGCCATGGAAAGGTATCTATCTGTCTCTTCAGTGTGTGCAGAGCTCCTTCTGTCTGATCATCGTATTACTGCAGAATTCTGAAGACATGTCTGTCTTGTGTTGCAGGTATTTCGCCATCGTCTTCCCACTGTGGTACCGCTTCAGACGAACCATCAAGACCTCTGTGCTGGTCTGCGTCGTGGTCTGGGTCCTTCCTCTCATCTGTACCCTCCCTGCACGTATATCCAATTCTGTTGCGGGCGTCATAATCCTACCCATCTTTTTATTTCTTCCCCTCCCACTGCTCATATTCTTCATGGGTGGGACCCTCAGAGCTCTGTCTGCCTCCATCTCGGTCCCCTCTGATGAAAAACTACGAATTGCAGGAATGTTGGTCCTGGTGCTGCTGATTTACATCCTGCTGTTCCTGCCCTTCATCATTTTGATGGTGGCAGGTGAACTGGTTAATGTCACTCTTGTCTTCCTGTCTCTTGTGTTAATCAGGTTGTGTCCTCTTGTAGATTTAGTTCTGTATGTTTTCATGAGGAAAGGGACCACACACAGTCTCCTGGCCTCTGTGAGGTGTTGCAGAATGGACAGCAATGAAATCAGAAGACCAGCAGTAGCAGTGGTGATGACGTGTCCACAGTCAGCTTCACGTAGCCAGAGACAGACAGGGACAGGGACAGAGACAGAGACAGAGACAGAGACAGAGACATGCAGGCAGAAAGGACAGATTCTGTCTGATAAGGTTTCCAGTGAGACACCTGACTGTAGATACGAGGACGCCTCGTCCTGACTCTGCTGTGAGAGTTCTGCTTGCTGGTTTGTTAACCTTGCTGTGGTTCACTGTGACGCCTTCAACAACTGGAAGTCTGTTCTTTATTAGTCTGTGAGCTGATGTCTGTCATTATTATTCTTTAATCACAGAAACAAAACAGATTATTTTTGATTCACTGAGCTCTTTGAAGACGCCACGCCGTCTTTTTCCTAAACCTTAGACTTTTTTTTATAGATGTAGTGAACATGTCAACAAGTCTGCAGGATGTTTTACTGTTTTGGTCTGATACACATGTTAATTACTGTAAAACATCAGTTAATAGACCGGGCTGTTATTTGCTTCAATCACTGAACTCAACAGGCCTGTATTAGAGACAGGCCTTTAATTCCTCTCACACAAACTGTTGCTCAGCAAAGATCAGGAAATATCAAAGTGTTTATTTAAACCAGTCTGAATATTACTGTTTAAAAATGAACCTTCAGATAACATATTAATTATGAATAATTCATTTGATCTAACTCAGACAGACAGACAGAGTTACAGTCCCTGACACAGCGACACATCACCACTTTATCCTGTTAAAACAATCCTCACAACTTGGATTCATTTTTTTTTTTAAAAAACTCGTTTGACTCTTTTGATCCATGGACCCTGACAGACTGAAGGAAGATGAATAATTTACAGCGTAATCCAGGAACAGACACATAATCTGAGGCAGACAACAACCTGACAACCTGCTTTATACATCTGAAGAACTATAATAAAATAATGAGCTGTTTGGATCCAGACCAGGCCTCTAATAGAGACAGGCCTTTGTTTGTCATATGTGGAGCCACACCGGGCTGGTTAAAGGGGCCGGACGAGGCTTTTAATTGAAGTTTCAGGTTGTTTATTTTTCTCAGTTATAACTTGTGTATGTCCAAAATTGTGTTTTGATTTTATTGATTGTTAAATTTTGTACAGATCATAAACTATGATTTTGTTTGTTTTCTTTATTTAATGTAAGTTTTATTTTGGGTGTTTTAGTGAGAGGCCTGTTGGTTTTTAGGATGTGATTCAGAGCAGATACTTTGCAGCTGTTGAGTGATTTGCAATATGGATAAAATATTATATCACAGTTTATGTAATGTTTGAAATTGTATATTTTCTGAAAATTCAATAAAAATCTGTTTCTTGACAAAATTGTGAATGTGTGCCTTTGGGTAACTCGCTGCATTATGGCACAGCAACGTCATTTATAAAGCACATCTCAAGCACAGAGGCAACTCACACACAGGGCTTTACAAAGGCTGAGAAATCAGAATAAAGTCAACTAAGATAGGCGACATGTTAGTACAATGGTTAACAGTGTTGCCTCACAGCACCTCTCCTCATACAATCTTGATATCTTACCCCCCAAATTCTTTTTAGATGTCCTTCCTGTCATTGGCCCTGCAGTACTCACTATTATAAACATGTCCCTCAGCTCTGGTTCTGTCCCTGATCAGCGAGTGTCCAGCCACTCCTAAAAAACCTGGCCCTGACCCAGCCGTTTTCAACAACTTCAGACCCATCTCAAAATTACCTTTCATTTCCAAAATACTGGAAAAACTGGTTGCTGAGCAGCTTCTCCAAGTTGTTGAAGGAAATAATATCTTTGATAAATTTCAATCTGGTTTTCGTTAAAACCACAGTACTGAAACTGCTCTGTTATGAGTCATGAATGACATCCTTATGCAGGCTGATAAAGGGGAACTCTCCATCTTGGTCTTACTGGACTTGAGCGTTTCTTTTGACACCACTGATCACTCTATCCTCATCAGTTGACGTGTTGGTATCTCAGGGAAAGCCCCACAATGGTTCATGTCATATTTGTCAAATAGAGGTTTTTCTGTCTCCATAGGTAACTATGTGTCCTCGTCCACTCCGCTGTTATATGGGGTGCCCCAGGGCTCAATCCTTGGTCCCATTCTTTTCTCATTGTATATGCTTCCCTTGGGCCAGATAATCAGTCGTTTTGGCTGTATATCCTATCATTGCTATGCGGATGACACTCAGCTATATTTTTCAGTAAAGCCAGATGATCTTAGCGACCTCAACACTCTCCACAACTGTTTAGCTGTGATAAAGGACTGGATGTCTCTCAACTTTCTTCAGCTAAATTCTGACAAAACTGAGATTCTCATTTTTGGCCCTGAAAATACTGCTCAAGGCATCTTTCAGCATATTGGCCCACTTGCCGCCCATGTCAACATTAACTCTAGGAATCTTGGCGTTATATTATAACGTTATATTATAACACCCTAAATTACCCTAAACTGAAACTTGAACAACATGTCAATAAAATGGTTCAATCCTGCTTTTTTCAACTCAGGAACATTGCAAAAATCAGACCATTATTGTCAGCCTCTGACTTGGAACATATCATTCATGCCTTCATTGTTTCCCAGGGACATGTTCTCCCTGTGTCAGCGTGGGTTTCCTCCAGGTGCTCTGACATGTTCTCCCTGTGTCAGCGTGGGTTTCCTCCAGGTGCTCCGACATGTTCTCCCCGTGTCAGCGTGGGTTTCCTCCAGGTGCTCTGACATGTTCTCCCTGTGTCAGCGTGGGTTTCCTCCAGGTGCTCCGACATGTTCTCCCCGTGTCAGCGTGGGTTTCCTCCAGGTGCTCTGACATGTTCTCCCTGTGTCAGCGTGGGTTTCCTCCAGGTGCTCCGACATGTTCTCCCCGTGTCAGCGTGGGTTTCCTCCAGGTGCTCTGACATGTTCTCCCTGTGTCAGCGTGGGTTTCCTCCAGGTGCTCCGACATGTTCTCCCCGTGTCAGCGTGGGTTTCCTCCAGGTGCTCTGACATGTTCTCCCTGTGTCAGCGTGGGTTTCCTCCAGGTGCTCTGACATGTTTTATTCATTTTTTTGAGGCAATGTATGAAAAATGTTTGTCACTGGTTAGGTGTTTAGTAAATCCTTATTGAAATATCTAGCTGAGGAACACATATAAAGGGAACTCTTGAACTTGAATGCCTGTCCCACTTTAAAAATATGCTCTTGGCAAAGTGGGACAGTGTCGAAATCACATTTAAAAGAAAGAAGATTGATATGAACATGATTTTTTTTACTTTTTTTTTTGTTCTGATTTACCATGACATCCCATACAAAATATATAACAATTACAAGCTATCCATCACTTTTACACGTTTTATAGCCTCCACATTATTCACCTGGTTGTCATTTTACCACCATTCACTGAAGGTTGTTGATTATGGGTTGCCACGCCATATCATATGTAACACAGTTAAAAATGTGGTTATAAAGGTTGATGGTTCTGTAGAATAAATAGCCTAGTATTAAAATCATTTAAATAAGTTTTGCATTAAAAATGTATGATGTGGTTTGTTGTTTTGTTTTTACTGTGTATCTTGTGTCTTGCGATTGTTTGCATGACAGAGGACAAGCTGCATGTTGAGAAAACGGGAGGAATTTCCACACAAAATTCAGAGACTGTTTATGTTTTGTGCTATCGCTAATGCTAACGCTAAGATAACCTGAAGTATAGTCTAGAGTCAGTCCATTACAAGTGAACAGACGTTTTCTAGTTAAAGTTTAACTCCCTCAGTTGAGCGATTTGAGAGGTGAACTGCTGCTTTCGACCTGAAGACAGATCAGACAGAGCTTGGAGCAACCAGGACTTTGGTTGCTTGTGGAGACGCGGGAGGAGAAAAGACCACCACCGGTGGCTGTGCTGGGATGCTGACCTGCTGCTAAACCTGCGCCTGTGACGGCTGGAAGAAAGACAAGCCAGGAACATTAACTCAGGTGCCACACTTCTTATTTTGCTCTTGGAGGAGCGAAGGGGCCGTTAAGTCTTGGGCCACAACGAACACTGAACCAGGCCTGGCGGCAACTTTATATTTTGTTTTTAACAATTTTAGTTTTGCCGGCTTTAAGGGACAGTTTATTTAGGTGTGTGTGTGGGCCCACTAATTATATTTGTTGAGTTATTAAGTGACCTTTTGGAGTTAAAGGTGTTTATGTTTTGTTTATGCACTTATAGTGTGATATTCAGAGTGTTTTCCTGAAAAAAAGAGGGAAATTTCATTTTAAAGGTGTGAAACAACATTCATATTTTTCATTTTCTTTTTCTATTGCAAATCAAAACTCATTCCTTTGTTAAGTAAATAATTGAGAATTATTTTTCTGAAAACCTGAGTTGTGTGATTTTATTGTACTTAGATGTTACGAGCCCCGCCATAGTCTCCAAAAATCGGCCAGATATGAAATGCCTCCGGTAAATGAACGTCACTCTGTAGCTCACCGGCTGGAGCACCTACTGAGGATCCTTTGTTTGTTAATCTGGAAACTAAGTCTGTTAAAATGGGGAGGTGTGTGACTGTGTTCATGTGGCTTGACTCTTGGCTACATTAGCCGTTAGCTTGGAGGAAAGGGTCCCTATGAAAATGTATTGCTGAGAAGAAATGATTTGAATCACTCAGAGATCGGGGTTACGTCGTTCACCGAGTGATTCTTTCGCCGAGTGATTCGTCACGTGGTAGGCAGCCCCTCCCTGCACCCTGGCTGCATCGTGACTCGTGAGTGATTCATCGTTTGCACAGACCGAATCAGCAGTTCCACTCCCGGCCTGCACGCTCGCTGCTGAGCTCAACTGAACGGAAAAATTAACAAATCAGTTCCAGAAATGATTCTGGCTGAATCATTGTCAGAGACAGTCGACTTGGGTGTTAAGGTGTACAACCGTGGGGCGGTGATTTTAGTTCAAGAAAATGACACTTCCATGGTGGATGTTTTGATATGACTGCTGCATGCTGGGATTGCGTGACATTAACAACCAGAGCTGTACTGTAGTGTTCTCACCTCTGGAACAGAACATCTGTCACCATTCATTGTCTGTGGAGCAGCTCCACACTGTGTATGCCATGACATAACAGATTTGAGTTTTAGCTTTCTAGTTTTTAAATGTGGGAGAGAGTTGTTCATGTTTACTGATATTTTTGGACTGTCTCAGACCAGAGGAATAACATGACTAATAACATGCATGACATGTGAAATAGCTGTAGTTCCCCTGTCAGAAAAAATATTGGGATGATAAAAAAACTGCCAACAAAAACAGAGCAGAGTAACCATCCTGTCATCAATGACCCAGCTCTGTAGCTTCTCAGATAGTATGATGCAATGTACTGCTGACTAATCATAAAGTCTGAAGTGGTTTCACTTTCCATTACAGCACAGGGAAGTGACCTGGACCGACAGAGAAACACACTCACAGCTTCTTTGACTGCAGCGGCTGACTGTTGGTGCCTGGACCCTGATGCGGTGTGTGTGAAGGAACAGACGGACTCTCTTCCCTCAGGTGAGCAGAGTTTCTTTGATCAGAGTAGTCGGTACTGGGCACACACACACACATACACACACACACACACACACACACACCGTGAGTTTTGTTTCCTTTGTGTTTTCCTGAAGAGCCAATTCCAAAGATAAAAATCAGTCTGTGTGTGTGTGTGTGTGTGTGTGTGTGTGTGAATATTTCTGACTCTGCTCTTTATCCATGTGTGTTGAAGCATGTCAGACAGTTACAGCTCGGGCTACAAACACGTTAGTCTAAATTAAAGTTTTTATTGACCTTAAAAGAAAAAAGAAAAAACACCTGATAGAATTATCTCTGAATTTAAAGTTGTGCTGATAACAGAACAGCACTTGATTCCTATCACAGTTTGAAGTGTAGCCCACTGAGCGTTAAAGGGTTAACAGTTATTAACCTCAATTTCCGTCAGTTGTATCCTCATGCTTTGCAAACTTCAGCAACAATATAGCGTCTGCAGTCGGGGCCCCGGGGCCAGTTTCAGAACACAGTCATTTCACACAGGAGGAAAAGGTGTCTGTTCATGTGAGAAAACTGGCCGTAAATTCTGTGCGTTTTACTTCACACTTGATTTTCAGTGATTCACCCATTTCCTTCCACATGCACACTTCCTCTCACGCCTCCGGTGTCCATCGTTATAGAACTTGGTGTTAGAAAAGTTTTTTTACATCAACTAGAGAAAAGTCTTGCGGTTACAGACACTCTCCTAAAAACACAGAGTGTTCAGACCGTCATCAGCTACTCTGTTTTCAGTCTTGAACGTAACTTTTACTCTCATGTTGCGTTCCAGTCAAATCTAATTCAAAGTCTTCCACATGATCTGTTAGTGTTCACACTTTATGGATCCATCAGCCCACGGTATCTGAAAACAGTACATTCATTATAACCATACTCAGTAAACATTAAGGGTTGTGTTTCTGGTAAGTGACTAATGTACAATGTTAATGATCAACCACACACACACACACACACACACACACACACACACACACACATAGCTGAAGGCTCTGGCTCCTGATCTGAGAATTATTTTTACTGTTAAGCAAATTTGAGTCTTCATGTGAATGACTCGTACACATTATAATGCTTTATGGGAATTCTTCATGATGTGTTGTTGTGCATGGAATGTCGTGTATGTGTTGTTTATCCGTTGGTGTTGGTGAAAGTAGCTAGCAGTGTTGCTAATAATAAAGGCTCTGCTACTGCAATAGTGATGACTGCTTTCTTGGAGGCATCCATCTTTGTTTACCTTTAGGTCATAAATGGTACAAACACAAACGGGGACGCATACCACCAATTTAAACAGGAAGTTACGACATTTTACGACATCATCTTGAGTCTCACCGCTCGTAGCAACGTAAATGGATCACAGCATACGATCTAGCGCTGCGCTGCTGTTGAACGTCACTAGTATTACATGATACACAGACCAGATCAGCATCACGTCATCACCAAGGCCGCAGCCCCGAAGCAAACTGTCACATCAGGAGAGAAACGGGAAATGCCAGAAAGCTGTCGTGTAGCTGGTTAACTAAGACTTTCAAACTGAGATTTGAGGCACATTATACACTGAATATTCCTGGTCAGTGTGGTGAATCTCTGAATGATGCTGGTACCAGTTACTACTGATGCATAGCTAACATTAGCTTGAGTGGGAGGCTCCTGTACAGTCGGACAGTAGAGCAGCGTCAGACCGTCATCACCAACTAAATCTCAGCCTTCATCAAACAGTTGGCTAGCAACCGTCTTTTTTAAGGACACATAAAAGGGGTATTTACTGATGTAGTTTAAGTGGTGGAACAAGACGTGAAAGTCTCTTCAGCTTGTTTTAAACACAGACCTTATTTCAGACATCTAACCAAAAACACAATGACTTAAAGAAGCGGGAGGCGAGAGTGCTAAAATGCTAACTCATTTCAGTGCTGTAGGACTCATTCTTGCAACACTCCATTAATCTTTTTTCGGGAAACAGTGATAATGAGGACAGCAGAAAGTCATTTTCATCAGAGTGAAAGATAAACGATAAACGACAGCCTGTAATCTTACAACAGAAAGGACGAGAAATAATTTCCAAATATTAAAAGTAAACCAAGGCTTAAAATATACGTAGGTATTATTGAATTTGTGTAAAGCCCCTGACACACCAAGCCAACGGTCGGCCGTCGACCAACGTCGGGCCGTCGCTGAGCGTCTCGTTTTTGCAGTGTGTCCTGCCCTGTCGGCTAACTGGTGCTCTGAGCTAGCCCCGGCTCTCCGTTTGGATCCAACCGGAGCACCGAGCCCTGGTTTGTTATTCAGGTTAAAGTGGGAAGAAGCAGCGGGTTTATCGGGCAGCTGAGTGAAGTGGAGCCTGCGGAGGAAACACCGGGACCGTCTGGATGTAATAGTCCGTGGAGGTGCTGCGGTGCTCGGCTGCACAGATAGGAAACCCCTCGGCTGACAGGATGTACCACTCTCTCACTCCGCTCTCTCTCACGCAGGCGCAGAACGTACGTGCTACTTGGCCGTCGGATGTAGTCCGTGTAGTGTGTTCAAATGCAGCTGACACAGGGCGACGTGAGGTGACGTAGACGACACAACAGTTGGCTTTTGTTGCCGCAAGTTCTTTGATGTCAGTTTGGTGTGTCCGCACCTTAAGGTAAAGAATATGTTTTGTTATATAGGTTAGTTGGTGATGATGAGACTGCACTGAATATGTCACATAGAAACATTTAAAATTTCTGTAAAGAGTGGGTAAGTAATTAAACTAATGACTGAGATCTTTGTGATCGAAGTGCTGTGAAGGTTGGGGTGTTGACAGGCTGTGATCCGATACTCTGAACGTAACCTGCTCTAGTGCAGGGTAGCTGTTTAACATAAGTTACCATGGTGATTCATCCTGGTAAAAAAAAGAATCAGCTTCATAGTACTGAAAATCCAGAGTTAACCCTGAAGTTACCTCGTTAACTCAACATCCTGTTCGGTAGCACCGGCCTTAAGAAGGCACTGCTGTTTTTGTTTGTTTTGTTTTGATGTTGTTGTTTTCTTTTGTAGCATGAAGGGACTATAACTGCATTTTGTTTTCTAACCCTTTGTTGTAGAACGACAATTAATAAACATTTGACCTTGTATCTTGGCAGGTAGCACAGATGGAGACGGATAAACAGGTCCTCTTAAACATTTTGAATCATTTAAATGCAAAGGACTTTGAAACCTTCAAGTGGTACCTGCAGGGGGCTCTGAAAGATGTCCCAGCAATCCCAACCTTTCAACTGGAGCATGCCAAGAGGACAGATACAGTGGATCTGATGGTGCACACCTACGCAAAGGACACAACTCAAGTGGCCAGAAAGGTTTTGCAGAGGTTGCAAAGGAATGATCTGGTGGGGAATTTGTTGCACACTACTTCAGGATCTACAGGTAAGTTATTGAAAAGAGGGACTTAACAAAGACAGCATGCATATTACACATTCGTGCCTCATGTACCTCTTTTAGACTGTGATGAGATTATTTCCATGACAATAACAGTTACATTAGAAATACAGATGATGAATTTGCCTCTCTAGTAGCAATCATTTCCATAGCATAGTCAATTTCTGTTGCTCAGGAAACACTGGGTAGGTGTGTGCCTGCCAACAAGCCCTCAGCTGAGGACTAGTTGGTTTCCCACCCGATATCCCTCCATTAGGAGGGATAGAGCATGAGATGGATGTCAGGCCACCTAGGTGGAAGGAAGTTCAGGAGGTGGTCAGGCGTGCAAAGGCTTCTTCGGCCCCAGGGCCTAATGGAGTCCCCTACCGGGTTTATAAAAGTGCGCCTGATACCCTTAAATTTTTGTGGAAACAGCTAAGAATAGTTTGGGAAAAACAAATTATACCAAGAGCATGGCGTAGGGCAGGGGGTGTCCTCATTCCTAAGGAGAAGGAGTCTGTGGACCTTAGCCAGTTCCGGATGATTTCTCTCTTGAATGTGGAGGGGAAGATTTTCTTTAGTGTAGTAGCGCAGAGACTAGCTAGCTACTTAGAAAGGAATAGCTTAATAGATACCATGGTGCAGAAGGCAGGAATACCAGGTTTTTCAGGGTGTTTAGAGCATACTAGCATGATCTGGCACCAGATTCAGGCAGCGAAGATTAACAAAAGGGACCTACATGTAATATTTTTAGATCTTGCAAATGCGTTTGGTTCAGTACCGCACAGCCTCATTTGGAGTGCGTTTGACTACTTCAGAGTGCCACAGGTAGTTGTTAACTTAGTGAAAGCATATTTTCAGGATATTAGGTTGTGTCTAAGTACAGCAGGTTTCACAACAGGTTGGCAGAGGCTAGAAATAGGCATCATGGCAGGGTGTACAATTTCTCCATTAGCATTTACTATGGCAATGGAAGTAATCATCAGGGCTTCTAAGTGGGTGGTAGGTGGGGAGAGACGGCAGAATGGGTTGCATCTTCCACCAGTTAGGGCTTACATGGATGACATGACACTGGTGACCACAACAATGCCATGTACAAAGAGGCTACTAGAGAAGGTAAATAAGAACCTCAAGTGGGCCAGCATGAAAATCAAGCCTAGTAAATCTAGAAGCATCTCGATATGTAGAGGGAAGTTAAGTGATAGGAAGTTTGTCATAGATGATGAGGACATCCCAACAATTAGGGAAAAGTCAGTAAAGAGCTTAGGTAGGTGGTACAATGTAGAGTTGAATGATAAGGAACAGGTGGTGAAATTTAGAAAAGATGTGGCTGAAGGATTGGATAGAATAGATAAATCAGAACTTCCAGGAAAGTTGAAGTTGTGGTGTTTGCAATTTGGGCTATATCCTAGGTTAATGTGGCCATTGTCAGTTTATGAAATTCCAATATCTGTTGTGGAGAGAATGGAAAGGTCGGTTAGCTCCTACATTAGGAAGTGGTTGGGCGCTCCTAGGTGCCTAAGTAGTGTTGCATTGTATGGAAAAGGGATACTTCAGCTGCCAGTATCTAGTTTAACAGAGGAATTTAAATGTACCAAGGTCAGGACAGAGCTCTTGTTATCTGGGAGTAAGGACGTGGTAGTTAGGAGTGTGGTTCCAAATCCAACCAAGGGGAGGAAGTGGAACCCAAGATCGGCAGTTCAGGAGGCAGAGGCAGCTCTTAGACATGCAGAGATTGTAGGTAATGTTCAGTTTGGCCGGGGAGGCCTGGGGCTTGGCTCAGGTAAACCGGTATGGAATACAGCAGGCCTCAAAGATAAAAGAAAGCTGGTTGTAGAACAGATACGCAGACAGGAAGAGATAGTAAGGGGTGCAAAGGTAGTGGCCCAGGCTAAACAGGGACAGTGGTTGAATTGGGAAAGTGTAGAGAAGAGGAAGCTTAGTTGGAGGGACCTGTGGAGTATGGAGGAGAATCGTATTAGATTCCTGGTAGGGGCTACATACGATGTGTTACCAACCCCCCAGAACCTAAAACTGTGGGTAAATGAGGACCCATCATGCCCATTGTGTTCACGTACCGCAACTTTAAAGCATATTTTGTCAGGCTGTAAAGTTAGCTTGTCACAAGGCCGATATACATGGCGACATAATCAGGTGTTGAAATGTTTAGCTGCAGGCATCGAAGGGAAACGAAGACAGGTGAATTCAGAAGGTGTTAAGGATAGGGGCTTAGTAATTCAGTTTGTCCGTGAGGGAGAGAAATACAGAAGGGATAAGTTAGTGAGGAGGCAAGGGTGTGGCCGCCTAGAAGGTGCTTGTGATTGGGAAATGCAAGTAGATTTAGGGGGAAAGCTTGTTGTTCCTCAGGAAATAGTCTGTACCAGGCAGAGGCCTGACTTAGTGTTGTGGTCAGTGAGTCAACAGATAGTTTATTTCATTGAGCTGACAGTTCCTTGGGAAGACTCAGTGGAAGAAGCCTATGAAAGAAAAAAGCTTAGATATGCAGACTTAGGAGCAGAAGCTGAGCAGCGAGGATGGAAGACTAGGATTTGTCCAGTGGAAGTGGGGTGTAGGGGATTCATAGCAAGATCAACTGTCTCACTCCTGGGGGAACTCGGAGTGCGGGGACAGAATTTGAGGAAGACAGTGAGGGAAATGTCAGATGAAGCAATTAAATGCAGCCAGTTTATCTATTACAGAAGAAATAATGTCAGCTGGGGGCCAGCAGGGGGAACTACTAAGCAGGGCACATAACTCCTTGAGATCAGGTGGAGAGATCCACTTCCTGTCAGGAGAAATCCAGGAAGAGGAAGTATTTAAGTGTGGGAGTGGCCTATTGGAATCCATTTTGTTTGAGGCCATGCGGCAAGGTGAGTGTGCTTGCTGATCCTGTAAGTCCAGTTAGCTCCTTTAACTTTAGCTTATATTGTAGTTATGCTATGTAGTGTGTGAAATAGAGTATGGTGAATGTGACAGGAAAGCTAGTATCAGCATTGCTTCTGCCTGGAGCTCGCATGTATGGAGCCTGGGTTTGGTTGAAGATGGCAGTGCTGTTTGGGCTGAGAAAGCCATGTGTAAGTAAGAAGGAAATCCAGGAAGAGGAAGGTTATTTAAGTGTGGGAGTGGCCTATTTGAATCCCTTGTTTAAGGCCATGCAGCAAGGTGAGTGTGTTTGCTGATCCTGTAAGTTCATTTAGCTCCTTTAACTTTAGCTTATATTGTAGTTATGCTATGTAGCGTGTGAAATAGAGTATGGTGAATGTGCTAGGAAAGGTAGTATCAGCACTGTCTCTACCTGGAGCTCGCATGTACGGAGCCTGGGTTTGGTTGAAGGTGGCAGTGCTGCTTGGGCTGAGAAAGCCATGTGTAAGTAAGGTAAAGGAGGTTGTTGGGTTGGTGTGGGGAGCAGTGAGACCTGGCATTAGGGGAGTGTCTCTGGGACACCAGAGATCACTGTCTAGCCTCCTGGAGGTGTCGTGGGACCAACTAGACGAAACACTGGTGAAAGGAGGTTCCCACCCGATGACCCCAAAGACATGCTAGTTATCACTGCTCACTGGTCTGTATAGTTAAGCCTTGCCATAATAGTTTATCATAGGGCTTAGGTTATTCACTGAGTGCTGATCCTTTCTCTAGAGCACAAACTTCTTGTGTTTATTTGAATTGAACTGCTATGCTGCATCTTTCCTCTGAAAACAAGAAGGTCACCTCTTGTTTCTGCCGATGCCCCAAACAATAGTTTGAGAGTATCTGGCCAACACTGAGTGTCGAGGCCGTGTTCAGACCGTCAGCCCAAATCTGTTTCTTGGAATAGATTAATTTTAGAAAGTCTGGACTGCAAAAAACTACACGACTTGTGATTTTTGCAAATCAGATCCAAAGCACATTTGGAGTTAGTTTGAAATGTGATTCTGATCAAATGTCTACAGATGCGTCAAGGTCTGTCCACTCTGGCCGCTCAAATCAGAATTCAGTGTCTATTGCATCATTTGCAACATGACACACAACAACGTAGCAAATCCAGGGTGTTGGAAGTACGGAGCAGAATACATGGTGCTACTAGCAGAGCACTACAGAGGACAACATGGAAAACAACAGTCTGTGGACAGATGGCAAAATAAATTGGACTAAATTACTGCACAATTGTTTTGAGGGCGAAGTGATGGTCCTCAATTTGTCACGTTCAGCATTGGAAGGTGCTTCACCAGTGTGGCCATGTAGTTATCGACGTGACGCCTACGTTGTTACCACAGCAACCTATAAAGATCATTTTGAAATAACAGTGTGGACAGTCTGTCTTAAAGATCTGAATTGAGAAAGTAATCTGATTTGCCTGTAGTCTGAATGTAGTCAAGGCCCAGAGACTGCCAGGGTTGTTTTATATCTGTAAGGTCACCTCAATGCTCATGTTGGCAGTGATAGAGAAACTGGGAGTAGGTGTTTAGGAGAAATACCTGCCTGACTCCTGTGACAGACATAGATTGTCCATGATGAACACCATGTTGTGGCCACAAGTAGGTTCATAAGTATACCTGCTACCGGAGCACCTTAGGTGAAAGGTTGACAATCACAGCATTATGTTATCTGACGTGTGGCGAGGAGCAGAGCTGTCGGCTGATCACCACCTGCTGTTAAGTCTGGTCAGAGGTCTTGAACTGGCAGACTTGGGTAATGGTTTTCATATTTACAAAAACAGAAACCAGACGGTTTGCTCCAACTGTTGGGATAGCCCTCAGCCTCTTTGGGAAAACCTATGCCAGCATGCTGGAAAAGGGACTTTGGCCAAACCTAAATTTGGGATTATGCTTTTTGGAGTATCTTGTGGAGGGGTACTGCAGGAATTTGCTTTACTGAAGCCATTTTTAACAGCCTGTTGGTTCTTGCATAACCACATTTTCAGTGGGCACTGGGCCAATGCTTCTGTTTGTGATTTCCACAGACAGAATCTTCAGGCACATGTGAGTTGTGGAGAATATCCTGTACTTGACAGTTGCACTGCATCTCTGTTTCTGTTTTTGTCAGTTAATATGTTTTTTGGCTTTATTAGTGAGTGTGAAGCAGCAAGGACAAGAGTCAGCACCTCCAGGTCTGAGGCCACAGTACACTGCTGTAAGACAGTGGATTTTTTTTTTTTGGAGTGATGGCGTTTTGTTGTATGTTGGGGTCTTGATCATAAGTGAGGGTAAGATTAAGTGAGATCAACAGATTAGTGCTGTGTCAGCAGAAATGTGAACACTTCACTGAACTGTTGTGAATAGGAAGCTGTGCCTAAAGACTCTGGGTTATTGAGTAATTCACTGTATGTCCCCACCCTCACCTATGGTCATCAGCTTTTGGTAATGAAAGAATGAGATTGCAGACACAGTTGGCCAAAATGAGTTTCTATTGTAGTGTGGCTAGACTCGATTATAGAAAACAAGTGTTGCACACTCTGGCTCCATGTGCATTTCTTAAATTTTGATGCCATTTTGGCCTTTGGGCCTTCTTCAGGATCAACAATAATGTTGACCAGAGCTCAGATTCTGGCCAGACTCAGATGAGCATGCAGGAAAGTCCAAAAATGATCTAAATCCAAGTAAAAAATACTCTATAATGATGTTTCATTACTCGTAATTATTGGAGCACTTTTTCATTTGTGTTATCTCTTTTTTATGACTTTAGAGATTATTGGCAACTGTCAGCAAAAAGTCAAATCCAACCTGAAGAAGAAGTTTCAGTGTTTATTCGAGACAATCACAAAAGCAGGAAATGCCAAACTTTTAAATGAGATCTACACCGAGCTCTACATCACAGAGGGAGGGACTGCAGGGGTCAATGATGAACATGAGGTCAGACAGATTGAAACAGCATCCAGGAAACCAGCAACACCAGAAACAACCATCAGACAAGAAGACATCTTTAAAGCCTCACCTGGAAGAGACAAACCAATCAGAACAGTGATGACAAAGGGAGTGGCTGGCATTGGGAAAACAGTCTTAACACAGAAGTTCACTCTGGACTGGGCTGAAGACAAAGCCAACCAGGACATACAGTTCACATTTCCATTCACTTTCAGAGAGCTGAATGTGCTGAAAGAGAAAAAGTACAGCTTGGTGGAACTTGTTCATCACTTCTTTACTGAAACCAAAGAAGCAGGAATCTGCAGGTTTGAAGAGTTCCAGGTTGTGTTCATCTTTGACGGTCTGGATGAGTGTCGACTTTCTCTGGACTTCCACAACAATGAGATCCTGACTGATTTTACAGAGTCCACCTCAGTGGATGTGCTGCTGACAAATCTCATCAAGGGGAAACTGCTTCCCTCTGCTCGCCTCTGGATAACCACACGACCTGCAGCAGCCAATCAGATCCCTCCTGACTGTGTTGACATGGTGACAGAGTTCAGAGGGTTCACTGACCCACAGAAGGAGGAGTACTTCAGGAAGAGATTCAGAAAGAAGCAGGCCAGCAGAATCATCTCCCACATCAAGACATCACGAAGCCTCCACATCATGTGCCACATCCCAGTCTTCTGCTGGATCACTGCTACAATTCTGGAGGATGTGATGAAGACCAGAGAGGAAGGAGAGCTGCCCAAGACCCTGACTGAGATGTACATCCACTTCCTGGTGGTTCAGACCAAACTGAAGAATGTCAAGTATGATGGAGGAGCTGAGACAGATCATCACTGGAGTCCAGAGAGCAGGAAGATGATTGAGTCTCTGGGAAAACTGGCTTTTGATCAGCTGCAGAAAGGCAACCTGATCTTCTATGAATCAGACCTGAGAGAGTGTGACATCGATATCATAGCAGCCTCAGTGTACTCAGGAGTGTTCACACAGATCTTTAAAGAGGAGAGAGGACTGTACCAGGACAAGGTGTTCTGCTTTGTCCATCTGAGTGTTCAGGAGTTTCTGGCTGCTCTTCATGTCCATCTGACCTTCATCAACTCTGGAGTCAACCTGATGGCAGAAGAACAATCATGGATGACTGGACTTTGGACCTCTCTGTTGTCTAAAGTAGTTGGAGAAGGCTCTAAACCTAAACAAATACACCTCTACCAGAGTGCTGTGGACAAGGCCTTACAGAGTCCAAATGGACACCTGGACTTGTTCCTGCGCTTCCTCCTGGGTCTGTCACTGCAGAGAAATCAGACTCTCCTACGAGGTCTGCTGACACAGACAAAAAGTAGCTCAGAAACTAATCACAAAACAGTTGAGTACATCAAGATGAAGATCAGTGAAAATTTGTCTCCAGAGAGAAGCATCAACCTGTTCCACTGTCTGAATGAACTGAATGATCGTTCTCTAGTGGAGGAGATCCAACAGTACCTGAGTTCAGGACGTCTCTCCACAGATGAACTGTCTCCTGCTCAGTGGTCAGCTCTGGGCTTCATCTTACTGTCATCAGAAGAAGATCTGGACGTGTTTGACCTGAAGAAATACTCTGTTTCAGAGGAGGCTCTAATGAGGCTGCTGCCAGTGGTCAAAGCCTCCAACAAAGCTCTGTGAGTGGATGAATCACTGGATGTATTCATTAATTCAAAACTGTTTTCTATGCCATAGATGGGAAGGAAGTCATTTTGTTTGTTAATCACTAAATCTTCTTCAGGCTGAGTGGCTGTAACCTTTCTGGGAGAAGCTGTGAAGCTCTGTCCTCAGTTCTCAGCTCCCAGTCCTCTCGTCTGAGAGAGCTGGACCTGAGTAACAACGACCTGTGGGATTCAGGAGTGAAGATGCTATCTGCTGGATTGGCAAGTCCATATTGTACACTGGAAACTCTCAGGTCAGTAATCAAGGGTTAGGGGTGGGTAGTCTTTATATACAGACTCTACATCCAGTGAAGGTAGAGTCTGTAGGCAAACCCCGGAGATCTTTACTCTGGAAGAAGAGCGGAAGAGCCCTGGTTTCCGGTTGTAGGCTGTTTGTAGTCTTCTTGATATTGACCAATCACGTTTTAGCCGGCTGCAGTTGTTGCCAGGTTAAACGGTCCGTGCGGTGAACTAACAAGGCGGAACATAATTGGCGTCACTGCAAACTCTGAATCCATCACAGTGGTTCAGCATATTTACTTATATGAGCGGGGAGAGGAAACAGAAGTCGGAAATGGAAATTCGCCTCCTCCAGACCGGAATGCCAAAAAATCGGGGGTCTGCCCCCAGAAGCTGTATTCGCCGTCTGTCGGAAGTCAGACGCCAAATACAGTTGATGGGTTCCGGGAATGGGGGGTGGGTTATCTGGACCATTGTCCCTTTTACAGCCAGCATCATCAAAAATATGTGTGTGAATGTTGGCAACAGAAGTGGTGCTTTGCTCTGGCTATCCAGAAGCGTTAGCAAGCTTAAATTAAATTAAATCAAATTGTTGCCACCGTCAAAATGTCTGGTTGTTGTGTGTTTGGTTGTCAGAAGAATTCATGTTCCAACAGTGGGCTCAATTTCTATGGAATTCCAACAGGATCATGACCGTTTCAGAGCAGCAGGTTTTCTGGTTTAATGAGTTACCTGTTACCTGGTGACTCAGGCGAATGCATCGTGGTTGCATGTTGTGATGGCAGCTGTTGCAAACATGAACAGAACATGTAGGTGTCCCGTTAAAGTCTTCAATTTTACTTTAATTAATTTTAAGTATATATACTCATGTTTATTATCTACGCCAACAATTACTTCAGTTACTGTAAGCGACCACATACACATTCAGCTGAAAGTTAACACAGTCACTTGTTAGACTGAAACACATTCACCGTCTCTGAGACATTCAGTGGGTTGACTCCCACTGGACTGAGTCTGTGATCGACAGTTCTCAAGTTACAGTGAAACAGAAGCAGAATTCATGTTTGCATCACAACTATATCACTGCATTCTGTACTATGCTACATAGCAAGCCAACAACACCAAATCCAGGTACAACTCCCTGCTCAGTTGTTACCTTAGTTTTCTGGTATGTTAACACAATGCACATACATAGTGGTCTTGTGTCCTTGTCTTTGGCTGTACAGGATTTCAGATTCCAAGACATAAAACTAGTAATTGATGTTCTTTATATGACCACAGATAATGTAAGATTATTCATATGCATCTAGTGACATTTCTCCACCAAATACATGTAGGCCTCCATATCTGGTTACTCACAATTGGGTCAGTTGCAGATATCTTCTACACACTCATTAGGATCTGGAAGTTAGTAACCATTTGTCAAAGACACTCTGTTTATGTGTCATACATGATCTGGGATTAGGTTCCTTAAGTTACGTTCTTGGCATTAAGTTATGTAGGTTAGGTTTAGGCAAGTAAAGTTATGTAGGCGAGGTTCATGCAACTTAAGTTATGTAGGTTAGGGTTAGGAAAAGAAACGTGGTTGGGCAATGTCACATTAAGTACTCAACATAGAGTTATGTACGTAATGTAGGTTAGGTTTAATTTTTTTTTTTTTTCAAATTTTATATACTTTATTAATCCCGAGATGAAAATTCAATGTTTTCACTCTGTTGTTATGTACATATACACACAGGCCTGAAATACACACACACACACACACACACACACACACAAACAGGACATTTACATTCAGAAAACACAGCAGGTGGCTGTTTATCTTTAAACTTTATATAGGGCTTCTCTCTACTTAATATTTTCATATTGATTTACCAACTTTTTGCACTCCATTCATTTTCATAATTTTTCCTTAATTGAGTCCTTGAACACCAATGATTCCTGAGAGTCTGCAGCCAGTTGTTGGTGATTTTCTGAAACTAACAAAAGAAAATACTAGCAGACTATTTTCATTCATCTGCAGGCTGTCCGGCTGTCTGGTCACAGAGAAAGGCTGTGTTGCTCTGGCCTCGGCTCTGAGCTCCAACCCCTCCCATCTGAGGGAGCTGGACCTGAGCTACAATCATCCAGGAGACTCAGTGACTTGGATGCCAACACTGGAAAAGCTGCATATCTGGTGAGCTCGAGTCACTTCGCCCTAGAGAAGGTTATTAAATGTTTCTGTTTTAACAGTAGAGAAAAGACAATAGCTTTCTGTGTTTCTTCTTTCAGTACAGACCATGGTGGAGAGCAGAAACTGAAACCTGGCATGAGGAAATGTAAGTGTGGATTTAGTTTGATAGCTTTTTTTTCTAGGGAAAGTCAGTAGTTGTAATATTTCAACATAATTTAAAACCTAAAGGTTCTGAATGTAACTTTTACAAAATCCTTGTTATTAACAAGCCGTCTCTGCGCGGCTGTTGAGTGATCTTCAGTCAGCATCCTGTTGCTCGCACTACGTAGTCATGAGCAAGCATCTGAGCATCGGCCAAAACTGTGACAAACAAGACACTAACTATGATTGAAAATAAATTAAAATCATAAAAAGAATAACGTTACTGTCTGAAGTTTTCCTATGCTTCATTTGGACCATTGGTTCCATGACACTAAGTTGTCTTCTGCAAATTACTTTGGGTGCGTTCAGAAACACTCATTGTGAGTGTGGGAGCGCACTCTGACACAAACTGGAGCGTTGATAAATTGGGAGCGCTGTCTGAATGTAGCGTTGGGTTATCCAGAGCAGCGCACTCTCAGAGTGGCAGAGCGCACTCTGGACACTCTGTCTGTGGAGACGGAGCAGCAGAGCGCCGAGCGGAGTGAATGTGTGATTAATTTAACCGTTGTTTCATTCATGTAGAAATATAACGCTGCGTTTCTTCCACCAACAGGGCTCTCATTTTAGTGTAGAGCGTCAGACTGAATTTACGAATGCACGCTTTATCAGCTAACGCTTCTAAGCAACCGACTGCAAAGTAGCAAAGTTACAGCTAGCTGGCTAACCTTAGCTCAGATTACAGTTAGCTCATTGGCCCTGCATCGCTCTTGGCTAGTAGAAAACACTTTGTACTGTTACATCAAATATTGTTTGCTCAAGCAGTATCATTTGTATGGACCTTGCAGGTGGGGGAAGTAAGTTGCCACCTGTCATATGCACTCTGAGCTATACTGTTTTAATCTGGCGTTGGTTGCTTTTTTAGCGTTAGCTAATAAAGTAATCATCAAACTGCAAGTTAGCTAATTTAGCAGCCAGATCAGCCCTGAAGTTTGCTACGTTAGCTAGCTAGCATTTAGACGCGTCAGGCCCTACTCAGCCTTGCAGCCAAATTTTCCCAGTGGCCACTTGTGGAACTGCAGTGAAAAAAATCCACTGCTGCCCAAAAAGCATTTAAACCACGATTATAAAAGAGACATCTGTAAAAGTGTGGACAGGACACCTCCAAACTGTGAACAAGCTCAATTATGATTCTTAACAATTTTGATGCATGAAGGTTTTATATTTGTAAAACTCTCCTTGAGCTGAGAAAAGCGATTTAAAAAATCTCTGACATCATCACAATGTTAAGACTAAGAACCAAACGGGAACTAATGGGCGGAGCCAGCGGGAGAAACACTGCTGCACATATTCAGCGGACCGTATCCAAGAAGTAAATAGTGATCAACTTCCGTTTTTTTGTGTGTGACTTCCGGTCAGCCGCTTTCCCTCATGCTTTCCCTTACCGGAGCTAACGGTGCAAGCTAATTTTTTTCAATTTTCAGTTGTTTATGTTAGTCAATCAGTTAGTTAGTTAGTTAGTCTGTGTATTTTGTATAACGTTAGATAACTGTGCCCACGTTTCCGTTATAACGGAAATTTATTCCCTCTAAACGCGAATAAATCGCACGTCAATCATAAACTATGAACCAAAAAAGCACAATCTATCCCGAGTGAGACAAACTGCTTGATCCCCGTCTCCAGTGTACCAGCAGAGAACCTGCAGAACCGAATCAGTGAAAAAACACACCGGGCTACACAGCCTCTCTACCTGAGCAGCTGAAGCTGCGGCTCGCACCCTCGACACACAGACACACAGACGGTGCTTCTGCATGCCAGCCACACGTGTGCGCAACTGTGAGAAATAAATATGTGAGGTGTACGCTGCTTTTCTATCTTTTTTTCCCTTTTCTTTCTTTCTTTCTTTCTGTCAGCGACATACACTCCTAACACAGGACGGGTTGTTTTAATTGACTGAGTTGATCATTAAGCCATAGTGATGCGCGGATCGGCTCTGATAGCACCTGAATCAGCATGTACGCATCAACCATCCAGCCGTTACAACATGATTGAGCTAGCAAAGCAGTTTTGTGTTGCTATGTGTGGTATTTATTCAGTTTTGGGAAATCACGATGTCTAGAAAGCATCAGTGGCTGCAGCTGACAGGGACAGCTAACGTTAACACTAGCAGCAAAGCTAACATCAGGATCGTCATCCGTTAAAAGCCTCCCGTTGTCGGATACGACATGAAACTACTCCAGTTAGCTCAATCATGTTGTAACTAAGACATCCGCTGGAGAAAATATTTTTTTCACGGGCCACTTTGTGAGTTTAGTGAGTTATTACAGACACGGCTAACGGCTAACAGCTAACGGTTAGCCCAGCTAATCTACGATAACCATGTTATTAATTACACACAGAGAAAATACTAATGTTTGTTCAGTCATTGTGTTTATAGACTTTACAAACATCAGATTAGTCTAAACGGTGATATAGTGACGTGAAAAATGTGATATATACATATATATAGCTAAACTCAGTAAGGTAAAGAACAAGGGGATTCCCATTTACACAGTGGTAAGAGTGCTGGACCGGAAGTGTCACACAAAAAAACGGAAGCTGGCTGCGTTCTGTTTTGCCTCCGTGAAAAATAAGGTGGATACCGTTGAAGTGACTTACAGACGCTACTTACTTGCTAACTCCGCTGGAATGAATAGACACCTTTTTTCCATCCAGTTTCTGGGTAGTATGAAAACTTATGGTGCTTGTTGGCAAGCAAGATAATGTTAGCTTACATTAGCAAGCGAGCACAGCCCAATGACACTCCGCTCACTCCTCAGTAGGTTGGACGTTAGCTGCCGTAGCAACTTGAATTCAGCCAGGGCATAAACGCAACCTGTTCACCCATGGGGAATAAAAACTGATTACTACATGTCCAAAGTTACATATGATACCTTTAATAAAAATCTATAACGTATAGAGCATCTTAACAAGTGTCTTATACACATTTTAGCTTATGTAAAACTTCAGTTAATAGCCAATCCCCAAGCCCCAGCCAGGAGTTTTTTGGGGCCGTTCTGTGTACCTACTCCGAGGCAGGGACTTGTTTAGCCCCTGTTAAAGTTCTGGAACTCTGTCCTTCGGGGGTGGTTCCTGCGGTGGAGACACGCACCAACGACCCCGGCCCCGTAAAATTACCCCGAAGTTCCTGCAGTGGAAACGGGGCCTATTGTAACAATATGATGATCAGCGTTATTCACTTCAACCACTAGTGGGTTTAACATTTTGGCTGATCAGTGTATTTATATGTGCAATCTAAAGTGGTGGGTAGTCAACAACCTGGTTTTATACACCCAAAAAACATCTATAAAGATGAACTGATCGACAACCAGACCAGGCCTCTCATTAAGACAGGCCTTTATTTGTCAAAATGTGTAGCCACACCAGGCTAAAAACAGAGACTAGGCTTTTAATTGAAATGTTACGGTATATCAACAAGTAAAAGAAAAATAAAGTGTTGCTGTGTTGTGTCCATCAGATGCCTGTGAACTCACACTGGTCCCAAACACGGCACACAGAAACCTCAAACTGTCCCACACCAACAAGAAGGTGACGAGGGTGAGGAAGGAGCAGAAATATGCTGATCATCAGGAGAGATTTGACCACTGGCCTCAGCTACTGTGTAGAAATGGTCTGACTGGTCGCTGTTACTGGGAGGTGGAGTGGGAGGGAGCAGTTCATATCGCAGTGACTTACAGAGGGATCAGAAGGAGAGGAGATGGATATGACAGCAGGTTTGGAGGCAATGATCAGTCCTGGTGTCTCTACTGTTCTGATGGGCGTTACTCTGTCTGGCACAAAAATGAAAAAACAGACCTCAGCCCCTCCTCCTCCTCCTCCTCCTCCTCCTCCTCGGTCTCTCACAGAGTAGGAGTGTACATGGACCGTCCTGCTGGCACTGTGTCCTTTTACAGCATATCCCCTGACAAACAGATCCACCTCCACACCCTCAACACCACGTTCACTGAACGTCCTGTTGCTGGATTTGGAGTCTTGAATCTTGGTTCATCTGTGTCTCTGTTGTCTGTTTGAGGGAGAGTGTCCTCCTGTGGAGAGAAACAGGAAGGACTTCTGGTTAATGTTTCCTATATACATCATACCAGCAAGGCCATTTTGTTTTCAACATTTGTAGGAACACATGGGACATAGTGACATGATGACATAGTGACATAGTGACATGATGACATGGTGACATGGTGACATAGTGACATGATGACATGGTGACATGGTGACATTTTTGTCACACGTCTTTTTAACTTGTTTTACTATTCTGTTCCAGTTTTCCCTGAAATGTAGTTTCCAGTATCAGTTCCTGCTGAAACGTGTCTTTTTATCTTTTTTTGTTCCAAATAAAATTCTGAAAAAACAAAACAAAAACCATTGTCAAACCCAAAATGTTGTCCATTAGATGTCATTGTAACAGCATCAAGCTGCGTCTACCCCGGTGAGTATGTATCTCCCACAGCTTCTTCTGAGCAGTTTGATGTGAGCATCGTGGTGACCTGACAGTGGCCTAAAGACGTGTGGAGTTTGTTGTTACAGTGTAAATTGGTGGGTAAAGCCCGAGAGGTTTGTGCAAGCCTGACTGTTGTTCAAAGTTTGCATTATGAAGTTGTGACAGTCACTGCTTTGTGGGCTCCTGAGGCATACCACCAGAAATTTTGCACATGTGAAAAATCTGTCAGCCAAACTTATGTAATTGATATATGGGTCTGATAACATTTGAATCAATCAGAATGAGATCTAACAGGATGTGAGTGTTTCTGTGAATAGACTACAGGCTGCTGGAAACTTTATAATTCTTTACTGACTAAACCAACATACAATAACATTATATAAAGAAAGGACTGATCATGTGGAGGATACATGTTAACAAAGAAAAAACAATCAAGACAAACAATGAAAAGGTAATATCAAATCAAAATACTGTTTCATCCATTCATGTAGAATTTGGCTGCAGGAAACTGTCGACTTTTTGTCTCCGCCTTCTGCCTCTGCTTTACTTTTTTTTAATAACAGTTTTTAATATTTTAAGTTTTATTGAAAATGTGCAAAACAGCAAGGCATCATTCACCTACATTACGTACAGGGACGTGCAGAGAAACTGCCAAAGCAAACAGCAGAAAACAAATTAAACGTTTTATAGTGTAAGATTTAAGACCGATCACATCAAAAGTGATTTTAACTTTAAGTTTTGAATAGAAATGTGATATTAAACAATAAAATGGGAAAATATTTAAAAAATAAATACATTTATAAATGAAGGAATAACATAACATACAAGGGGAAACGTAAATGTTACGTGCATTTCATAGCTTTTTTGTATTTCTTGAATTGCCTCATTTCATTTGCTTGAATCCTGCATTGTTTTAAATTGTGTGAAGCTCTTTGTAACTTTACTTTTAAAAAGCGTTTCATAAATAAAGTGCATTATTATTATTATCATTCTTCTTCTTCTTATTACAATTATTATAATTATAAATCACCTCGAAGGAGCCTATCATCTCCGCTTTCCATTTTCCCTCCATTTTTGTACATCCGGGTCACAAACATCTATTTCCGGTAAGAGAAACACACCTTGAAACGTGATGAAAACAAACCGCCCACGTGTGTGTCCGCTGTGAGCGGAGGAGAGACGCTATCCATGATGAAGTGTGTCGTCTCCGGGTGTCCCAACCGCACCGTAACCGGTAACCGGGGGCTGTTTCACCGACCACCGAAGAGGTTCTTCAGCTTCCCCACAGACCCGGCTCGTGTCAAGGTACGGACCCGTGAAACTGGCCCGCGTGAAGAGACGTTACCTGGGTGTCGTTAACCCTTTGTAACGATGCTAATTAGCTAACCATGCTAATATATTAGCTTCTCTAGGGGACCACACCGGGTAGCGGCAGGTTTTAGCCTCAGTTTGGTCCCGGGTGGCTCCCGTAGAAAGCACTGTAACTTAACGGAAGTAGAGCGGTTATCAGGTTACATTCACCAAACCAACAAATTAATACTCATATTTAAAGTGTTTTATCTTGTGAGAGTAAATGTTTTACTCTGAAAACACTTTTAATGAAGTTCAGATCTGACTTTGGTGTCTGTGACGTTTGTGTGTGAGCCGCAGGTGTTTCAGATTTACTCCTGACTGTGTTATCTGGTGACTGTCAGCCGTCTGTGGTTGTCATGGTGACAACAGCTGTTTCCAACCAGGTAGAGAACACGTAGCTGTCCTCGTGACGTGTCTGTGCTCAGTTTCATCACAGTGTTAAACACCTGTGGAGAGGAAACCAGTCACGTGTTGTGACGGAATGTCGGAAACAGGAAGTGAGCAGGTTTAATTTCCTGTTTCTTTAGCTCCTATCTCTAACAGATAAACTCTGAACAGGCCGACACAGTTTCATCTTTGGTGCCCGTCTAAACAAACGTGTGTTACGGGAGAATGAATGAAAGACGTGCCGACATGTTGATATTGTCATATACCCCAAACATCTGACAGCATACAGTCAGTGATGTCACAGTGATGTCACAGTGATGTGAGGCAGCCAGATCAACATGTGACCACAATGTCCACCTCCCTAAGAACATTTTAGGATCTTATTGGTTTCCAATACAAAAAACAGCTGTTTAAATCCAGATAACTCATAAACCTGACGTTGATCGTAATGCTACAGATCAATAAAGCCGATATTTCTACAGTCACCTTCATTTAGTTCTGACGCCATGTTTCCCACCATCACAGTGCTACCTGCTCAGCAATGATCTGTGGGAAACTCGAGGCACAGACACGTCAAGACTCAAGATGCTTTATTGTCAGTTCTCCAGTGATGTGCAGTTATGTATAGAATATTGTAGAATAGAACAGAACAGAAAGGCTTGGTGCAGTGATGTGCAGTGATGTGGTGCAGTGATGTGCAGTGATGTGGTGCAGTGATGTGCAGTGATGTGG